GCACACATGAGGCACTGGGTTCAATCCTCGGCACCACATAAAAACTAATGTATCCACCTAAAACTAAAGATACATAAATAAATAAATATTTTTTAAAAATAAAAAAATAAATATATATAATAAGCATTCAATAAACATTAGTAATTGCTTAATATAATATATAATACATTTTACAAATTATTTGGTTTTGCAGCCAAATTTGCAGTTCTACGAAAGCAAGAACTTATTTTTGTTCACCACCTAAAACTATGTTCTTGAATGAATGCCAACTACTCAGTTGTTGAAAGACCAGGGCTTTGCATATAATAAGCACACAATGGATGTTTGTTGACAGAGGAATAAATGGAGATGATAAGATGGTTAAGTGATTCAGAAAACTCACAGTACTATATCCAAAAGGCAAAAAAGAGATTTAGGAACATTTCAGTTTATCTTTATAAATTTTTTATTTAAAAAATAAAATTATAAACAAAATACAGAAAAATATTGACACCTGTAATAACAAGGAAATAACTAATCCGTAGGGCAGCTTGTTGGAGAACAAAATCATGAGTTTTATAAAGAAATTTTTATTGTGCAAAGGAGAAATATAATATCTAAGATTCATTTACAGTGGGCATTTGGCATTGACAAAAAAAGTATTTCTATGTATACATTCAACATTTTGCAGCATATTTACTTCAATTTACATTTCCAAATTCTATGCCAAATACACTCCAACTCACTACCAACAATTTTTAAGATACTACTAAAATTCTGTACATTTGGTAGGAGTGCAATATTATTTTACTGGAAAATAATTTTTATGTTCCTACTAGATCAATTATATTTTTACTGCTTCAATAAAATTCACCAATGTTTTCTTCCCACCTGAAGCCAAGCCTCTTCAGACAAATTAAATACTAACTCAAATGTGGCCAGTTATGAAATTATATTATAAATTTTCCTCCCTCGTTGGAGATATTAAAACTTTTCAATGAAAAGATATCAGTTTTAATAAATTACTTTTTCTTTTACAGTAGTTAGAGGTATTTCAGAATCAAGTTACAGAATTTTAACTTTCTAAAAGACGGCTGAAAGCACTTACCCACTGAGAGTTATTACCAAATTCCTCATCAAAATAAAACACATTAAGAAATCCACACAGTAGTTTTCTGAAAACTCTTCTCCATTTCCCCCACATTTCTCAAATCTATTATTTATTCATTAACAATATGTGACTTTCTTGCTTTGTTTTTCTAAATTATATAAAGTAGCTATTCTAGTTTCCTGATAATCCTCCCATTTCATTTTTAAATTATGATTTTATTAAAATCAACATAAATTACAAGTAACTTTCATTTTTGCTACAGTTCACTTAGAAATTTATTTTAACTTATTGAAGGCAGAATTTTCATGGGGCCTGTCTATCTAGACTAGGCAAACAAAACATCAAGATTAGAAATTCTCATGCCTCCAACAGATTCCAGACAAAAATCTACGCATAATGTATCAATTCTTTCTTAACTATTTCAAATTAATTTCATTTCTTTTTGTCTAAGACGATAATGACAAAACAATGGAKACAGATAAATTTCAATGAGGTGAACTCTTTCTTTCCTATTTTCTTCAGGTTGTAACATCTCCTCCAGTACATAATGGCTGGCAGTTGGCAGTAGGTTGCTGGGCTGATACCACTTCTAAGTCTGATTCACGAACAAAAATCACTGCATCACCACTTACGTTTATAAGACACTGTGCCTATAAGAACAACAAACAGGACCAGTTCAGTTACACTCAACAATACCCTCATAGGCTTCTGTTATACAGGGATAGTGTTGTACAGCCAAAACAAAACAAAACAAAATGCAGACTTACAAATCACTAGGAAAAACAACTAACTCAATAAACAAATAAGAAAAGAATGAGAGAACAATTCACAGGAAAAGAAATTCAAAAAGCCTAGAAACATATGAAAAAATACTTAGATACATATGAAGGTTAAAAATAAGTAGCGTTTCATTATTACCACGTGTTGGCAAAGACATGGGGCAATATAAACACATTTAATATTTCTGGTGGGTGGGGTTTGTGAAACTACTTTGGAAAGGAGTTTGATGATATGAAGCAAAAAAAAGTAGACACTTTGTGATCTGCCAGTCTTACCCTCATTTATGTGTGTGTATATAAGATACACATACTGTATATACATTTTTTTTCATGCACTAGAAAAAAATCTTGGATATGTTACTAAAAAATTACTATGATTTTCACTGCAGTGTGTTTGTAATAAAAAAAATAGAAAACAGCCTAAATAAATAATGGAATATAAATGAACTAAAAGTTCTAAGAACTTAGGATAGAACTCATAAATGTCATGATGAATTAATGAAAATAAATAGAATGTGGAAAATATTCTCAAAGGAGGGAAACTTCTGCAATATCTAAGAAAACTACAAACAAAGGCCTATGATTTGACCTACCAATTTCATTTTAAGAAATTTTTCCTACAGATACACTCAGACCTCTGCTAATCACTTCTGTTTCATATTCGTTACAGTGCTGTATGTATTAGCATAACATTTATTAGAAACACCCTAAAAGTTCATCAGTGGGGAACTAGTTAAAGAAATTCTGGTTGATCCATACCATGAAGCATTATGTGGCTATTATAAACAGTGAGGACAATCTTTTTGCCCTTAAATGGAACAATTGCCTAGAAAAATTCAGTGAAAGAACAAGCTGTGGAAAAGGGGCATATCTTTGCTTGAATGTATCTAAAATCTCTCATGTTACATGCTATGAAGTGTTATAGCTCTAGAAGTGATATACAAAAAAACCCCCAAAAACATGAATAACTTTGGTTGTACAGGGGAAGAAACTGAGTGGATATAAGACAGGGAGAAATTTTCTGTTTATATTCTTTTAATACCCCTTCTGAATTTTGAATTATGTATCACCTATTTTTAAAATACATTAAAACATTTTAATACAAAATGAGATTACAGTTATATACATATATAATTTTTAAAATATAAAAGCCTACATAGAAATGGCAACAAAATAAGGATGGTCCACTAGGTAGCAAAAAGAAATAGGTCCATAGAGGCTCCCACCATATTTTTAATATTTATTTCTGAAGCTGACTATCAGGTTAAAAGTGTTTATGTTAGATAATTCTCTATACTTTTTAAGGGTATGCAAGATATCACAATAAATTAAAAGTGAATAAAAGCTAAATGACATGAAGTATAGCACCTGACATTTGAGCACCTAAATGGCAAGCAGTAATTAACAGTTATCATTCAGGAAGACTGGCAGTGGGAAGGCCCAAAGCATTTGGAATGAAAGAAGTGGGAGTATACTCTAGCTTTTCTATTTAGAGCCTCGTACTGAGCAATGAAATTCTGCAAGCCTCAGTTTTCTCACCTACAGAAGGGAGTTAATAATACCAATATGTTACAAAGTGCTAGAAATGCAAAAAAGCACAGTTCATTTGGTGGAAAACTACATAAATCAATACATAGGTTAAGGGCATTGGGGAGAGGTAAAAGGTAAAAACATAAGTCTAAAAAAGTTGGAAGAGTCCAAATTTTGGAAGACCTTGTATGACATAATAACCTTAAGTTTTATCATTTACTCTCATTAAAGACTTTGTAATATTTAAAATATAATAGTAACAACTTTTATGGTATTTACTATCCACCAGGCACTTTAGCATATTACATATATTTCCCCCGTTTTTATCCCAATGTTACAGATGAAGAAACTAAGGCACAGAGAAAGATTTTGTTTTGGACAAGTTGATTTTGAAGTACTTGTCAAAGTGATAATTTTGACAAATTGAATAAATCTAATACCAGGAAAAATCTAAAACTACAAATCTCAATCTCAAATACAAAATAATTAAGCAAGAAAGAATCTTTTCAATAGAACTAGGGAAATCCTATTACACTAAATAAAATTATTGTAAAGAAATATTCAGTTGAACCAGGTTTATTTTTAAGATCTGATAGATGTTTTCTTCATGATCAGATTATATCAGATTGTTTACAACAAATTATTAATCCCAATCAGGATGCCCCTTCTCTGGTTTCTTCTCCTTACAGATGATCTGTCTTGAGGTAGTTCTTAGCGTCTTCTGATTTTTCTACCTCTCTTTCTACCTTTTTCTGCTCCACTATATACCCTTTTTACCCATTCTATACAATCTACTTGGCTCCAAATCTGATCAATAAACTGGTACTGAATCTACAACTTCAGTTAAGAAATCTCATTGAGCACTAAATGCACACTGGCTATCTACCAAAAAATTTCCTAGGATGTTTGATAGGTCCCCTTCCTTCTCTCTCTTCTAACTTTCCTTAGCTATTGCTGAAATTTATCAAAACGTTGTCTTCCAGGCTCACGGCATTATTTTTTCTTCAATATCTATTAATGAAATATGATACACTCCAATAAGAAAAAGATATAAATTGTTGAGAAAGTAAATGAAGCACCCTTGAGAAGAAACTGATTGTGAAGAAACTGAAAATAAAGGTGAAATCAYTTTCAATGGTCCCCTCTGCTGGGCCAGAAATGAGGAGCAATCACCAACAGCCATAAGGAATTTCATCCATCTACCACTACCTGTCATTCAAATAATATGATTTTTGATGTATGCCAAGAGGAGCACATTGAGAAGTACTGCCTTTATCACAGCTCATATAGCCATTTACTTAAAAAAAATCTTTTAAAATTTTGAGTGAGTTATCTTAACTCAAAACTAATAAAAGAGGGGCTGGGATTGTGGCTCAGTGGTAGAACACTCGCCTAGCAAGGGCAGGATCCGGTTCAATTCTCAGCACCACATTAAAATAAAGGCATTGTGTTGTGCCCATCTACACTTAAAAAATAAATATTTTAAAAAATGCAAAAAAAACTGATAAAAGAACCTTATTTTATAAATTTAACCCAGTAAGACCCTTTTTATTCCCCATGAACAGAACATTATTTACAGAAATAAACTAGTATAAACAGAATAAACTATTATGATATACCCTGCACTGTATGGCAGTTAAAACTGGTCAGCACCACAGGATAAACTAACCTGTACTTTTAGCTCTCTGCAGTCAAGACATCACTGTACTCCAAACATCCACCAAGATGATGGTAGAAATAGTAGCTCAGGAGCAGAAGTTCCAAAAATGGTTAAGAATAACTTGTTTCCTGAGATGTGAGAATAGCACCTAAGCTATATATGACCATACTTATTAATAACTTCACTGAACTATGTTTTTAGCAACTAGAATCAAAGAAATCTGAAGAGCATTTTTATTCTGGGAGGGTGATGGAGGTGGTTGGCTGGCCATGAGGGAAATTCTCAGGTTTCCCCAAATCAGAGATTTCTAACTATATCTCACCTGGTTTTTATTTGGATTCTCCATGAAGACACACTGCTTCATTATATAGGAGACGACAGCATTTCCTCCTAATGCAGCAACATGAGCCCTCACCATTGCAAACACTTCAGCAATAAAGGCATGGAGGAAACCACTGACTCCTCCTTCCTAAACAACAATGTGGAAAATAACCATATTATTTATATGTATCTAGGAATGTACATAAAATGTCAAAGAATATGTATTAAATCATCCCAAGTTATCCTAATAACAGGCAAAAATTCATAGGATTTACTGTATGGATGAACAAACAAAACTTTATTACAAACATGGCTGGATGAGGATTCACTATCCTTACTTTAAACTTAACTGAAGCTCAGAGAATTTGTAATCTGCCCATGATAAACTATAATCACATAAGTAGTACTGACTGAATCTGTTTTGCACATTATATACTTATACCTAACAGGTACTCAAAATAAGTATTCCATAAATATTTGTTAGGGAGTAAAATCCATTAGTTCAGGGAATTTTTTCCATGTTCAAAAAACAAACAAAACAGAAATTAAAGGTCAATCAAAGTTTACAATGTTTTGTCCACCTGTTTTCTAGAAATTCTCCTGGAGGTTACTTAAATCTAGGAGGAAATTTCCAATTTTAAATTGGAAGTAAGGGAAAAGCTGAGTAAACTGTTAGAAAATCATTTTAATAAATCACATCTTTCTAAAAAGCCAGGGCATTCTACATAGTCCTATAAAGGTCTTGCTTTTTGCAATTAAGGAATTAAGTGAGTTGTTTCAGATTGCCTCCAACTTAATCACAGATCAGTGCATTTTTTTGTTGGTCTTATTAGTTTCCTTCTGTCTATTAAGAAATTTTGAAGGTAGAGTACCTATAGAACTTTAATTTTAAAAAGTTTAATTGATGTAAGAAAATAATTTATCAGGCTGTGAATAGAACTGTAATACTGTGCTGTGAAGTTTCCATTAAAGAGAAATCTACTATGAAGCAACATTTTTGGGTACAGGAGCTTATGCAGTAGAGAAGATATAGAAAATAAAGTCTTACAGATTTGCCAGGGGTCATGGTACATAATTGTATGTAATCCCAGTGACTCAGGAGGCTGAGGCAGGAGGATTACAAATTCAAGGCCAGCCTGGACAACTTATCGAGACCCTGTCTCAAAATAAAATATAAAAAAGTCATGGATGGAGTTGGAGAATATAATGTTAAGTTAGCCAAACCAAAAAATCCAAATGCCAAATGTTTTCTCTGATTTAAGGATGTGATTCATAATGTGTTTGGGTGGGTGGGGAGGGCATGGGAGGATTAGATGAACTCTAAATAGGGCAAAGGGAGGAGGCATGGGGGTACGAAAGACAGTGGAATGAGATGGACATCATTACCCTAAGTATATGTATGAAGACACGAATGGTGTGACTCTACTTTGTGTACAACCAGAGATATAAAAAAAATTGTGCTCTATATGTATAATATGAATTGAAATCCATTCTGCTATCATATATAACAAATTAAAAGTCTAGTGTTATAGCTCAGTGCCAAAGTACCCCTGCATTCAATCCCCAGCAAAGAAAAAAAATATTTTTAATATTTAAAAAATAATTTATCTGGGGCTGGGCGGTACCTCAGTGGCAAAGCACTTGCCTASCATGTGTAAAGCATTGGGTTCAATCCTCAGCACCACATAAAAATAAATAAAATAAAGGCATTGTGTTCATCTACAACTACAAAATGTGTATATATATATATATATATATATATACACATATATATATACATATATATATATATATAAAATATCATACATAAAGATTTTGAAAAAAATAATAATTTATCTCAAAATCTCCACCTAATTAATGAAACAATCTGTCAGAAATCATCATTCATTTACATATGCATCATGTTACTCCATGCCAAACACTGTGCTAGATGCAGGACAGTGAGCATGATATTGAAAACAGTATGCAAGCTTGATTTCTTTTAATATTTTTCTTTTTTAATTGTAGGTGGGCACAATACCTTTTATTTTATTTTCCATATGGTGCCAGGGATTGAACCCAGTGCCTTATAYATGGCAGGCAAGCACTCTGCCACTGAGCTACAACCCTGGCCCCTGAAAGCTTGATTTCTAAGAAGTTTTTCTAGTAAAACTAAGGTGGGGGTGGGGGRGTGGGAAGCACAATTAAGTCATTTCCATAACAAGCATACTTTATTAAGTACAAACTGCTACTAAAGTAAAATATAAAGCAATTACCTGCTTTCAAGCCTCAGTAATTAAAAATTATCCCTATATCACAGTATTAATTTGCTTATAACATAAGATTCAATATAATTTTCTTTTTACTGAGTGAAAATGAACAGCTCCATTTTCTTTTCAGAGGGATGAAACAATTAAGCTAAATTACATAAAATATCTACATAAACATGTCTATAATATGGTCCTCCACTATTTCTAAAGGTGATCCCTTAAAAATTGCTATTTAAATGTATCTCAGGCAAATAACTACTGAAAAAACTAAGCTGTTCTTTCAGGGCTATTATAAGAATCTAATGAAACATAGATAAATTTGTTTGATTTAATAAAGGTCTTGATAAAAATCYAGAATTTCTAACAACAAATGTGTTTAAACCTAACACAAACTCCTGGTAATAATACTAGCTACTATATGAAATGCATTAGTTTAAGCCAGAATCAATATATTTAAGTGATTAAAATACAAATAAATAAGTAAAATATGTATTTGTATTTATGTATATTTACTATTTTAGGGAAAAATAATAATTTGAGACATGGTTTTGTTACTAAATAGTCAATCAAAGAAAATCCAAACACCAACAAAATAATCTCAGTAAAATTACCTCACGAAGAGAAGTAGTTTCCCGAATAAAAAACATGTTAATTATCCCAAGATATTTAGTTATTTTTGCTCCAGGAATGAAAGAAAGAGGTGTCATCTTAACAACCCCAACTGTGGAATTTGTACAAGGTGGAGCAGAACGGTTCCGGAAATTTCCTTCACCCATTGGACTTGCTTTTTCAACTGTCACAGCTAAAATTGAAGAAAAGAAGAGGTAACATTAAGAACAGATACTGGTAATGCATATCGGTCACTTATTCCCTAAGGTTTCCAAGTAAGTGGTGACAACATTCAGCTGTCTGTGAGGCTAAGCCATGTCATGAAAGAAAAGAAATCATCATGCACTGCATGCAATTAAAAGAGAGAGAAAGAAAAACACATAAGGAAATGCTGGAATGAATTCTTTTGGAAGAAAAATGGCATTCCTGCAAAAGAAAATGTTGATGCGGAGTAGCTACACACACAATGATCAGTTATGAAGTGAAGAAAAAGAAAAAGCGGCAGAGCATTAAATTATCTGCTGTAGAAACAAWTTATTACAAAGAGAGTGTGAAAGTTGTTATATTTCCCAGTACAGTTATTTCCATCTTTTTCAGACGACTTCATCATTGTCAACTTGTAGATAAACCTTAGGTTAACTAGTGGTATATATTTCCTTTCCAAACCTTTTGATTAAACAAACTCATAATTTAAAAAACTTAGCAAATGACCTTGGCCATCAAAAGATTATTGTTTATAAAGTAACACAAAATAATTACAACTTGCCAAATAACTGCTATCAGCCAGACATATTATGTGTATGTGTATTGCTTACAACCCAGCAACATAGGTTTTTATCATCCCCATTTTACACATGAGGAAGCTGAAGCTAAGAGAAATCGAATAGCTTGCCCAAGGTCACACAGCTATTAAATTGGCACTTCYAGAATTCAAAATCAGACCTGGCTGGTTACATAGCCTCTGTTATTTACTCTAAAAGGTAGTTCCTTCCCTTTTAATGTAGTTTTTTTTCCTCAAATATAGTTACTTTAAAATCTACCAAAACACATGGGGTATTGATAAAGAACATAAACATACTGAGTCTAGCAATAAGATGAGAGTTAATTACTTTCTCTCCAGAAATACTTATTCTTTTAGCCCTCTGGATATTGCTTAGTAAGCTAACAGATACAATATACAAAATACGCTGGGTCCTAGAAAAGTTACCTCTTTGATGAGAGAGCTAGTGATTACCTTCCATGTAGAAGGAGATCATATCTATTTATATATTTTTAGTTACGCCTTCACAAAAAGTAATATTTTAAAAAAAATTCTGTTTTGTTAAAATTAACAAATCTAAAGGTCCTTCATTTACTCTTCCTACATGACCATAAGAGTCTGCAGCTTTCACACTCCAACACACGACTGATTGGCAATGTTAATACTAGGTAGTAAGGTCTAGCCTTCATCACTGCGAAATCAGGGATATGCTTCTCAGATCATCATAATGTGGTAGAAACATCCGCCTACTTGTCTTAATTGATCCGCGCCTTATGGTCTGAGCTTTCAGTTTAATGAGCTCTATCCAGCTGCTGCATCTGTCTGCAAAGGAACTGTAATCAACTGACGTTGCTGAAAACACAGACAGAAAACAAAAGAAAAAACAAAGAAAAAATATGGATGACGTCTCTTACTCGTCATAACACTCCTTCTGATGATGTAATTTAACTGCAACTTAAAAAAAGAATGGTCTTTTAAAGTCAGATAAGAGAGGTGGTAAAGAGTCAAGCTTACGACACTGATTTGTCCAAAACCAAGTTCTTGATCATCTGGCTGAGCATTTTTGGTGATGTCACAGCTGTATGGTCTCTTGGGGAGAATGTTAGTGGGGTCTAACAGCAATGAGAGGGCCACACATAAATAACTAACTTTATTTTCCATTCTATTTAACTATTTTAGCTATTCCTATTAGAATTTAATTTACAATTTCAACATTATAACTAATCCCCTTCTCTATTTTTATCCTAAAATAAAAAGAATCAAAATGTTGAAAACACTTGGAAAAAAATCCTTACTAGTTGACTTATCTTGAATGAAAATTTCTTTCTACTATCAGTAATAAAAGTTAAAGGATCATTTTTGTCAATATTCTGTTTCTATGCCTGATTTTTGGTAACAAAGCCTCTGATAAAGGGGGTGGGAAGTGGGTATGAGTCTAATAACTTCCTCCTTTAAAAAAAATAATTCACTACTGCTAATTAAAAAAAACTAAAATTTTATTTTTAGAAATTGAGAAACCATTAAAATGCTAAAAAAATAAATATTTAATGAATAAAAAATACAAATGCTAACTACAATAAAGTCACATTGTGGTGTCTATTCCATTGTCCAGTGCATTTCTTCAGTGTCTGAAATTTTATGCACCACCTAACTAGAATTCCACACCTTTGGTGACTATTTGCTTAATTAAACAAACTCACCTCTCTGTGCGGCTGGTATACCTGAGTTAGAACTTGCACTCTCCAGGTGTTCTAATAAGACAATATGAACAACATTAGCTTGAATGCTAAGTACAAGCCAGCATCTCTTCTTTGTTGTTTGTTAATATCTTCTATAAGCCAGAAGACTAGGAATAAATCTTTATGGCTTCATTATAAAAGCAAACCAAATAGAAATATTTAGGTTTAAAATGTAGTTTCTATTGACATGAAAGCTAGCTCAGTTAATAAATAACATGGTAAGTAAGACTGCTTGTTACTATAACACAAAATGAGTTTCAGAAACTGCATAGTCATAAGAAAATATAAACAGTAACAAATGTTAGTAGAATGACAGCAGAATGTAAGAAAACTAGACAAAGGGTCACTGTTTTGGGAGGGATATCTGACATGAAACGTGGAAGAGACATGTTTGTAGGGAGTAAGAGCCAGTAAGATTAAAAATTACAAACAAAGTAATGCGCTATGACTCACAGATCAACACATGCTGCCTCCTACCCCTACCCTTCCTTACCATGAACCTCTTTTATTTGTCTGAACTATCAACAGCTCCCTCTAGTGGTAGCAAGACTTTGTGGAACTAAAACTGACTCATCTTCAGAGAAATAACTAACAATTCCAAACTAGAATCACTCCCTTTCCAGCACCTCAGGAAGTTAGCATCCAAGGTTTTCCCTCATATTTTATGTTTAGTAAAGATAATTAAGGTATCATGCAAATGTAAGTAGYACTATAAAAAAGTCATAATCCAATTTTAAGGCCCATGTTCTATCCACACTAGCATATTTAAATTTTTGTTTCAAAGTATGGAACAAATGAAAGAATAGTGTTGCCAATTTAGAAATGACACATGAAATATACTGAGAATAATTTGGGCCAGTCAGTTTAAAAAATATATATAWATTGAATATATTTTTTAATTTCTACTTAATGTGTTGATCTTTGGTAATATTCTTAAATTTATAAAAGTTTATTTTAAAATGTCATTTGTACATAGCATTTCTCCAAATTAGAAGAAGCTCCCTTTCAACCCCACCACCATTTTTTAAGCAAGTGACCAGTAGCGAATACTAGAGAGTATACAGTGGTAGACAATCCTCTGGATAGATAGATAACAAATAAAAGGGAACACTAGGTAAGGTCCACAAAAAGTCTGTGAGGGTACTATGCTATGCACATTCCCTGACTGTAGCCTAGAAGTCTAGTTGGGGACAGTCCTGATACAGGATCTTGAGGAGCTCTGGAAGTCTGGGAGAAGATGGAGCCCATAGGAAGGCCAGCAGGAAGACTTATCACACATCTACAGAGAGTTCAGGACAAGAATGGACTCAATGCAGAAACTGGGACAGCAATGAACCTACCCCAGGCTTATATATTCTAGGAGAATTCAATGGTTCTCCAGGGTTACTACCTTGGGCAGTACAGACTTGGTCAGTATAGAATTACACAGAGTACAGGAATTCATWGTAATTGAATGAAAAAAAAATTAATGCATAGGCAGAGGAATGACTAAAATAATTTTTGAAAAATTACTAAAATTAAATTATCTGCTATAACTCAATACTATCTGGGTAATACAGAAATCTGCAGAAGCAACTGTATACAATTTAATGACAAATACATAGACAGAACTTACTTAAACATGTAGTTATTTATTCCCACCTCTAAGTCACAAGTGGAAAAATCAAGGTACCCAATAATCTGTAAAATATGTGTGTTCCAATAAAGAATAAAAAGAGAATCTTTGTGAAGACAGATGAAACTGTTACAAGTAGTTGCCTCTTGGGAAGAGAAATAAAGGGAGAAGGGACTTTTATTTTGGATTACATGATTTTGATGTTACTTGAACTTTTTAGTATGTATAATTCATACTTTTCCAAAAATAAATTTATAAGAGTAGGGAAGAGAGGGGACTCTGAGGAGGGGTAGGTATTTATTACCTGACTTCAAATATAAATGCATTTGAATTAAAACTGAAAAAAAAATGATGCTTTAAAACTAGAGACATTCTTCAGAGAAAGGATAAGAATTTCTTTAATCTCACTTAAAAAGAGCTGTGTTATATTTTAACATACTCCTATGATCTTAATTTTTCTCCTAACAGAAAAGACTCCAGATGAGCAGATCCTGGCAGGAAATAGACTCTGATTGGCACCTCAGGCTAGTTTGAATACTTTAAATACCCAATGATTGTTCCTTCTCATTAAACTCAGGATTCCCAGTTAATAGGCCTTTCAAAAGAAAAGGCACCACAGTTATAAGAAATCTCACTCACTGAGAAACTAGTAACTCTAGTTAAAAAGAAATAAACTGAAGAACATGCAATCACTATCAATTCTAAATAAAAGACAGCAGACTTCATATTCAAGGGTAGAAATCTCATTTAAAGTCATTCAGGCTTTGTTGAGCATTAGTTAATGCTCAGTTGAGTGCCATTTGTATATCTATGTGGAAGAGCACTTTGTATGTTGGATCCCCATTCCAGCTGCAAAGAGAGCCTCAATCCAACCATACAGCAGTCCATTCTCTCAAAATTTCTATTCCCATTTCATAAAAGACAAAGATTAAACCCCGTCATTCTCAAATAACCCTAGAAACTTAGTAAGTAGGACAACAATTTAATCATTCTTAGCACACTCTGGGAAGCCCTATGTCTAGTGGTGTGCATAGATAAATTAACCCAGATTAAAAGCATTTAAGTGGTAATGAGCATATTGATGACAAAAGAAAAAAATGTGGCAAGGATTATTCCTCCTTCAATTTTATACTCTCCAGTGTTTCTAAGGTTTGAGACTTCTTCATTCTTCTAAATAATTTCTTATAACCAATTCAAAACTATTGGCTAGCTGTTAATATGGTCTGAATGTTTACCTCTTCTAAAACTGTGGTTAAAATTTAATTGCCATCAAAATAGTATTAAGCTGGGTGCGGTGGCGCACACCTATAATACTAGTGGCTTGGGACACTGAGACAGGAGGATCAAGAGTTCAAAGCCAGCCTCAGGAACAGCRAATGTGCTAAGCAACTCAGTGAGACCCTGTCTCTAAATAAAATACAAAATAGGGCTGGCGATGTGCCTTAGGGGTTGAGTGCCCTTGAGTTCGAACCATAGTACCAAAAAAAAAAAAAAAAAACCAGAATTAAGAGCTAGAAACTTTTAAGAGAGGATGAGGCCATGAGGGCTCCATTCTTGTGGGAAGGATTGGTACCATTATAAAAGGGTGGTTCAGCCCCTCCTTGCTCTCTTTCTGCTCTTTCTTCCTGTGATGATGCAGCAAGAAGGTCCTTGCCAGATGCCAATAYCTTGATATTGAACTTCTCAGCCTCCAGAACTACAAGTCAATAAATGTCTTTTTTTAAATAAAATACTCAGACTTGGGTATTCTGTTACAGCAACACAAAGTGGACCAAGGCAGCTGTAATAAAGTTTCTACACAGATCACCCAATCTTTTGACGATTCATTTTATATCATTAAATATAAAGATCATCTTTGCTCTGAATAATTTTAAAAAGTATTTGAGACAATCTTGCATACACATCTTTAAAAATTCCTAAAACTGAGAAAAATTCTACAAACAAGAATCTCTGGCAGATTAAAATATACATAATCTGGAGTCTTTAAATTTTATGCTTTATTTTCCCATTTTAACATTCTCAGTTTTAAGCTATTATGATCAAAATTGGGTTTTATGTTCCTTTAGGCAGTCCCATCAATCCATAAGACACTGATTGGCTATGCCTCATAACTATAAAATCTGGTTTAATGACTAAGTTAAAGCAAATGGTGTATCTGAACATTCAGTATAAATTTACCCATAAGGGTACTTAAATATTGATGAATTGATAATGAAATTGCCATTCTGTAGTTATAAACTATTAAGGTATAAAGAAAGATGGAAATAGCTTCAATTTGGGTAGTTCAAAAGAGAAAAATTCAACAGCAATATACATAGGCAATACATACATACATTAGATGACCAAAAAAAAATTAACTTCTCTATTTGGCTAATTTATGTTTCCGATTAAAGGTGTACAAAGGTGTACAACATCCTAAGCCACTTGTCTTTTTCAATCCCCTTCTTATGTGCTCCTGTTTCCATTTCTATACATCCACTTTTCATCTTACTACTACCCTTTATGGCTCTCTTCCAAGTTACTTAGGTTTTCTGGCAGTTGCCCAATTCATTTTTTTTCTTTGCTTTTTAATCCCTCTGCCTCTGAAYTTCACTGTCCTCAAGGTACCTTACAGAAGCTAGAGAGGTAAAGACTCTGTATTCTATTTCTTCATCAACTCCTTTCCCAACCTATTTCTTGGCTAAGTATTTGCATACATTTCCCTCATTTTGGTTTCTATTTTCCTTATTCTCTTCATCAACTCTCTCCTTTCAAAGCCTGCCACTGATTGTTTTAGACGTCCAATATAACAGGGAGAACATCAGCTATTATTTTTACTGTTGTTACCATTTGGTCATAATGACAAAATACACAGTACTTTAAAATCAAAAACAGAAACAGCAGACAAGCAATAGGTTATCAGTATATAAAGACATTTTTTAGTTAGTATAAAGAATTATATTTATTTGTTAACTATTAATTAGTAGGAAAAATGAAAGTTCTTATAGTTTTTAGAAATTTATATTTCTAATTGCTAGTTTAAAATCAGATCATCATTAGGCAGATCATTAAAATGAAACCATCTTTTTAAAATCAAATCTGGTTTAACAAAAACAAACTCGTCTATAATAAAAATAAGGATTAAAAAAACTACTACTGTGTAGACCTAATTATGGAAAGCAATGCATTGCAGGTACAAGTCAACTTGTTTTGTTTTTTTTTTTTACATCAAAAGCCAGACACTAATCAGTACTTGCTACACTCGTCAGGCTATAGTTACATCACTGTACACAAAGAAATCATCCAGCATAAAGCAAAATGAAAGCAAAAAACAAGATGAGTATTAAAAAGAATCCTCTTCTATATGGTTTCACTCATATATTTGTACATATAATACTAATTAAACCTTTTAAAATATTTAAACTATCAGTGTTTAATAAAAATTTATTTATGAGACATTACATTTATAAAGTACTTGAAATATATGGTACATGATTTATACATACTTGTCTAATCTAAGTTTATAAGTTCTGTAAAATGATAGTATAATTTAAGTCTTTAGACTTTTGAAGTGATATGCTAACCTTTTCTAAAAACTATATGCAGGGGATGAAGTCGTAGCTCAGTGGTAGAATGCATGTATGGCACGTGTAAAGCCCTGGGGTTCAATCCTCAGCACTACATAAAAATAAATAAAAATAAAACAAAGGTATTATGCCCATCTACAACTTAAAAAAAAAATTAAGACTATATGCATAAAATTCTTTAGCCAGACTGCAGTTTATGAGAAAAATCTACTAGTATTTTATGTATCTCTCATACTGCATTTACTCAGACTCCCCATTCTTATTAATTTACTCTCTCATCTTTTTATATACATAATTTTTAAAGAATCTTGAAAATGACTTAGAGAAAAATTAAGGTATGAATAATAATGATGATGGGAAAGTACTATAAAAATTTTGATATAGTCATTTTTTTCTCATAATATAACCTCATCTGAACATAAATAATTTATGTTGATACCACATCATGTATGTTCCTCATAGTATTCATATTCAGTAAGGAATTTTGATGACTTTATGGAATAATATCTTTTTGAAAATTATTGAAGCTCAGCACCATTTAATATTAAAAAAAGAGATAACTAGGAACAAATCAACATAAATTTGAGACATACATAAAACTATTTTTTTACCTTGAGAAATAAAACCAAATATAATAAATGATGGAGGGAAAAAATTGAACATGGATGGACAATTCAGGCCCAGGCTTACTCAACACAATGAACCAAGATACATGTAACTACAGCATCATTACTTCACAAAACATTTACTCGTTTTCAATAATATAAAAAGATAATGGAAGGTTTATCTACAAGTGAAAAGACAGAAGTGCTAAAAAACATACTAAGCTTAGCTCTTGAAACTACTCTGTCAACACACCAGAAAATAAGAATTTTTTTCAATCCCCTACTTGTGTTAAGACATGAGATGTAAACTAGAATCCATTGTTATTAGAATTTAAAAAAAAAAAAACTTATCAGCTTAACTAACCAACTTAGTAAATTTTTCTGTATGAGTAGTTGACTTTTAAGCTTTCTGGCTACATATAAGAAAGCAGACACATTTTTTATTTTTCACTCCTAAACAYTCTTAACTTTCTCTTTCCTGCTTAATTCCTCTAAATTGCTAAGCTTAAATKTTCAACACTTTCTACCATGTCAAAGCACATAATTACTCCATTCATATTATGAGGCTCTATTACCACATTTTTCAGACCTTTTCAAAACCCATCTTACCCTTAATTCTTCCAAATTACTTTCAAATAACTTTTAAAGAACAAATTTAACTCATGTCCTCCTGAAAAAACTCGAGGAAGCAAAGACAATAAATAAGCATGCATCACAAATCACAATTTAGAAACTACAAAACTATGAAGAGATACAGATGCATTTTTAGGTGTTTACTAATAACTTTAAAATGTAATATTCAACAATAGGTACATAGGTTTTATAGTGAAGCACTCAGAGTAAAAAGCTTTACATGTATATTAGTATTAGATATTATGAAACTGATAATTACGATGATGATCATGATAATTTTGATGATGATAAAGGTAGCATGATCTGATTCAGTGGTTTTCAAATCTTTGAAACCCTTTCTTCAAATAAAATATAGAAAACTAATGTGTAAAATTCACTGAATCAAAGCTGCTCTAGTTCAGAGGCAGGTCATCCAGAGATCTATCCTCTCAATCCTCACCCTTCTTTGCAGCCTGAGGCATCTCTGGAAAACCCCTATGGTTTGGAGGAGCAGACTTTAAAACTTATTGGATTAACTGATTAGAAGTTTCTTGAAAACATTTAAAATAACAAGTATAGAAGATCAGTATGACTTTGGGCACTAATTCAGCTTTTGACTTTTCTTTTAAGTTTTTGACATGTTTATAGTAGAAGACCTATAAAACACAAACCCAAGTAATTGCAGAATTTTAAAGGCTGGAGAGAATCTTAACCCTCTCACATTTTACACAAGAGAAACTGAGGCTTAGAGAGGTTAAGTAATTAACCCAAATTCTTACACCTTGTCACAGATAGGCAAAGAAGGCCACATCTGTTGCTTTTTTACCTCATTCATGATCCCTCTCCAAGCTCACTAAAATGATTTGCAAATGTTTTACATTGTTCTTTAGTTCACAAAGTATCATCTTACACTAATGACTACATAAGCATTAGTTACAACTACCTTGGATAGCATTTTGAAAGCTATCAATACAAATAAGGAAAACATACAATTTAATCTTCTGTAGGTATTAATAATATGGTAACATTGAGCTAATATGGCCGGACTCCACAAATATCTGTTTCTAGAGATGAGCAATCAAATCTTTTTGTGTTGATTAGGCCTTGAAGGGTTTTTGCCACATTGTAGGGTAGGGATTAATGAAATGACACCTAAAAGTCATTTGGAATTAACCTTATGTAAAATACAAGTTTCTCTATAATGTATGTGTTTTAAAACAAACAAAACTTCCTATCTAATGATTCAAGGAAGAATCTTGACAATAATGTTTTCTGTTTGGGAAATTATTTTTAATTCAGAAATATGAATTTAGCATATTCTTTAAATATGATTTTTCCTTCCTATTCTTTCAAGGAAATTGAGATATGCTAAAATTCTCATGGAGTTCTAAATTAGAATTTTAGGTGAGGACAAAAAGAAAATATGACCAAAGTTACTAGGTTAGAAAGCTCAGAATCTAATAATAGTTTATATTTTCATCTTGAAAATGTAAGTCACAATCCATTTATCTACAGATAAACCTTGAATTGGTTTGTAAAGATTCTATTGATACATATGCAAAGTGAACATAAAACTATTTTACACATAATTTGATATTAGATAAAATAACTAACAAGTAGGAATCACAAAACAACTTCACTTGCATTACAGAATATAAAAATAGAATATATTTGACTTTAAATAAAAAATGCATCATTTCTCAGAATAAAGCATTTATAAAAAATGCAAACTACATTTACTAAGATTATATAGTGTAGAATTAGGTATGGTAGTTTTGAAAAGTTTTAAAAATTACACTGAAATCAGAAGAGAAATGGGAAAAAAAAAAAAAMCTCCCATTTTTCTCCAAAGATTATATAGATCAAAATAGATGTACTGGTTTTAAATTTACAGGTAATTGTTTTGCACTTAAAAAAAATATCTTAAAATATGTATCTTAAAAATACATAATAATGTTCTTCAATTATCGCAAAAGTTAACATATGACAGGAAGTTCATCCCTGTCTCCCTTGTTCTATCCTAAAACTTTTCCATTTATCCTCTGAGGCATTCTGATGGTCTGAAACTTTTGGTTATTTCTGGACAAAAAAACTTACCAAATATAATACAAATATCAAATACACTACATGTGAAAAGTTATACTATGAAGTACAAATCTTTAAAAATAAAATGTTGATATATTTGAGGTCTGAGAATGGAATATCATATAGAAAATTACCTTATTAACTTATGGTGAAATTACTTGAGAAATTAAAAGAGTATTACTTTCTCCTGTTAATGAACATGGAGAACACATAATAAAGAAATGAAGGATAAATCTCAAGATTAAGAAAGATTGACTATAAAGAGGAAAGTGAAAGCACTATAACTGGGATTCGCATTTGAATTTCTTACTTAACCAACCTTTAGCTGGTGGGAAAGGATGTGAAGGAAGTGAATCTGAACAGAGTTCCAGTGGAAACTGCAAAAGTTCTTCATTATCTGTAGAAGCTGGAGAGGAGAGAAAAACAACAGTTATTTAGCACTGATCTATTATGATTTTTTAAGAAATTAAGAACTTGCGACCGAATATCTACTCTGTGGGAGTGGGGGAGTGTGCATGCACACACATGCACGTGTGCGTGCATGTTATATTTCTCACCCCCACAAAATGTATACTGGCTATTTCATCCCTGGTTTCTTCCCTGGGTATCTTTCACCTGCATGATGTTGAAAGAGGTGCTGCTTTTCCTGATGGGAAGGTTGTCAAATTTTAAAAGATTAATTAATACCTATAAATCATTTAGCACACTGGCTTATAAATAGTAAGCATTCAATAATAATTATTGTTCTCCTGTATAGTGTAACTTACTAGTTTATATGATGCTTAAAACAGCCATTATTTAATTTATCCAATAAATATCTGAACACATAATTATTTAATACATCTAATTGAAATTAACTCAATGATCAAATCTTATCAATTTCATCTATGTGGGATTTAAATCAACTTTAAAACATTCAGGTTAATCATGAATATTTTAGTTAGTCAATAAGTCATTTAAACTTTAGAAAGCATTATATTCTTCCCCAGATATTTCTTTTTTTATAATATCAATTTCTAATAATTTAGCTTCTTTGGAATATCTTAAGAATGGCACTTCTTAAATTTTACTGGATTAAGGACATGTCTGAGAATCTGTTTATAATTAAAATTTTCCTGAGAAAAACAGGGTCACAATTTTGCTTCCTATATCAATTAATTCTCAGGTGCCTTGAGGACCTCACCAGAGATCTTGGCATGGAACCCCTAAACTACTATAGAATTCACATGCTATCATTCAAGTCTAAAAACAGGAGCATTCCCTATGTGAATACCAGTTAATCACTCAGTCATGTGTAAAAAAACAATCAAGTCAGCCATGTTTATCCAGTTACCTCAATAAAATTAGGTAAATATCTCTTCAATTAAAAAAGTCATTCAACCTACCTGCCCTCTATATTTAGCACTGAATTGTAATGCAGGCAATCATGAACTATACTTCCCATCCATTAAAGATTTACCTCTTTGTAGTGACTTTTCAACATGTGGTTTTGTGGTCTGTAAAGCCTGATTTTTATCAAAAGTTATTGCAACTGCTGTGACTGTGACCTAAAATTGCAGAAACAATTATGATTAGCAAAATAATTGTTGCCAAAACTAAACTTCATAAAAATCGTTTTCCATATCATGAAAACAACCTATGTCAATTGGTTAATTTGCCTTTCCTGGTTAAGATCCCAAATGAGAATTATATATAAACTCAGATATTCTAACTACTATACTAAGCCCAATTTGTATAGCTAGATGTTTCAGAAAGAGCTCAGGAACTTCTCTAACAGATGGGGATTGGTGAAATCCCACAAAATAAGCACTCATCTATTATTCACATGCTGGAGCACATTATGTGAAGTCCATCTTTAGATAATCAGAGTTCAGAAAAACAAAACTGACATATTTTTTTTAAATATTTTGAGGTAAAACAGTGTGTGTTTAAATTATTTAATTATGGCAAAATTATAATATTAAAACAAGGGGTAGGGAGGGGGAGCATGGGAGAAATAGATGAACTCTAGATAGGGCAGAGGGATGGGAAGAGAAGGGAGGGGACATGGGGTTAGAAATGATGGTGGAATGTAATGGACATAATTATCCAAAGCACATGTATGCAGACACAAATTGGTGTGAATATACTTTGTACACAACCASAGATATGTGTACAAAAAATTGTGCTCTACATGTGTAATAAGAATTGTAATGCATTCCGTTCATTGTCATATATAAATTTTTAAAAAATAATTTTAAAAATATTAAAACAAATCTGATAAAAGCTAGAAATCTTCAATAATAGATTGAATGTTAATTACCTGAATTAATTCATCTTCAGGCAGAGATACTGTGAAATTTACATGGCAAAGGCAGCAGGGGATCATGGATCGTAACTTAAAATACAGGCTCTACACAACAGAAAATATTAGTTATGTCACTTTGTTTTCATTTTTAGAAATTATAAAAGCTGATTTTGTCAATGTACACTACATTGTGGTAAATAAAAATATTTAAAAAGAGTAAAATAAAACTGTCCCACTTCTGCTTTGTGTAATATTAAGAATACTTTTTTGCCCTCCCCCAGTGCCTGCAAGCTAGGCCAACCTGCAAGCCACGGGCGGGCGGGTCAGGCCCAGCAACCAGCCAAGTGACTGCAGCTACACGCGCCGGCGGGGAACGCGGACCGGACCCACTAGGACAGGTCCGGCGGACGGCTGAGGGCTAGGCCCGTCCCCTCCCCCAGTGT